CCAGAAACCGTGTTCTGTGATTGGAAGTGGGAAAAAGGTGTTCTTGAAGTCTTTACAGTGCCCCGAACGTTTACCACTCCATCGTTGGAGAGTGGGAGACAGGGACCCGGTTCCTTTCAGTCTCCAGTCTACTCCTACTCAGGTTCCAAGAAAAACCGAACAAAACAACCTCCTTAAATGTTTTTTTTCCGAAAGAAACCAAGAACCTCCTTGGTATCAGAACCTCCGGTGGGGCGCCGGGCCTTTCCGGAACGGCGGGTTCCGCAGGAACCGTGAGACTGAAGGGTCCGGTCCACCGGCGCGCGGGACACCGGGGCTAAGCCCGGGGTATCTCCACTTAGGACAAGAGGACCTGTTTCGAACAAAAAGAGATGGTTCAAGTGATAAGGATCGCAGATCCTAGCAAATGGGTTGATATAACTATAGATGTGCTTTTTTGTGTTCGGTGGTGTATGTGCACCTGTTGGGCACCTCATAATATCATTCTGGGATGCAAGCTAGTCAGTCACCTTGACTGCTTGAAGACTCTCCTGGACGGCGTGAGCCTGTGACCATGCGGGCTCCAGCTGAGCTTCAGACAAACAGCTAACATGCTCCAACCAAAGGGTGATTTGGATGAACCTACTTTAAAACCTTTGGTTGGGGCATCCTGTAGCTCGAGCATTTTCAATCAACCTCAATGAGCAGAGCAACCTGTCAAGGTTGATGTTTGCAGGAACCAATTCGTTGCTGGGGCATTGGAGATGGCAAGCTTTCGGCGTGTTGACGCCGTGGAGCACAAAGGATGACTGACAGATTCCCACACCACTAAGAAAGCGATGCATCACCCATCATCACCGTGTGTGTGTGTGTTGATATTCAGACTGCGATGTTGGGGGAGCATGCCAGAAGCTCAGAATTCACTAGGATCAGTACAATTTCGGTGTTCTTTTATTTATCCCCCACCACTGTGGTTCCTTTTGATTTCCTTAGGTTTCCCACTGCGAGTGGTTGCGTTCGCCATTCGTCGATTCGTCCAGAGACTCTGAGCCCTTTGATCAAACGTATTCCAGCGGGTCGGAATAAGGTACGTAAAGACTTCTTTGGCCACCCAATTAGCTGCAAGAAGTTTCAGCACTGAACCTTGGCACCAGAGGAAGTCCACAGGACATTGACAGGAAACAACTTCCTGTTAAACTGTTGATTTCCTTAGTTCCCTGGAAGATGCAATTCAACAGGGTTCTAGACCTCCCTTGAATCGTTTTGGGCTGACTGACAACCGACTCCCTTCCAGTCCTCGTTTGCCTGGGTTTCTTTACAAATCAAGACTTCCCTTCCGTTTTTTTGGTTTCTAAAAACTTGCGGAAATCGTTTCCTCACGACCACTGAGCCGTTGGTTTGACCAGTCATGTCCAGCAAGCCCAGCCGGCCGTCAGCAGAAGTTCTCATCGCAACAACGGGCCGAAGTTCTCCGGGTCTTTCGACCAGAAAGGGAGTTTGAGGTTGTCAGCACCTTTTGTTTAGTGTTTAGTGTTGTGTTTGTTGAGGGGGGCACAGTGACACATGGTACTTCGCATGGGGTCTCCCCCAGCAAATGTGTAATTCAACGCAGTTGGTCCTTGTACTGCGTGTGCGTGTACTTGTGCGTAGAAATGCTTTCAAGATTTGAGTCAAGATGTTTGAAACAGAACCTGTTGGGTCGCTGGAATGTTTTGTCGATCGTGGTGATGGTGTTGTAGCTGTAAGACTGGTGATGTTAAACAGCCTGGCAGCCTCGCATGACTTTGGTGGAGATGCGGCCATATGAGCACCGCAAGAAACCTCTCAAGATGAACTAAGTAAAGGCCTTGTCATATGGAACTTGGGCGTAAGCAAAAACCTGAAAAGCGTAAGGTTGCGTAATTAAGGGAGTTGTGAGACATGCATGTTACGTAAGCTTGCCATATGAGTGTATTTTCACCTACAAAAGGGGCCTTTGCGTAAGCATTTTCCTTCGGAGTATGCTTCTCATGTGTGAAAATGCAGATGCATAAGGTCTTCTCCGACATCCGTGGCGCGTAAGCTCGCATTGTGGTTGCGTAAGAAAAGCGTAAGCAGGAGCGTAAGAAAGTTCTACGACATAGGGTGTTTAATCATACGTTTTTTGCACAGCTCATATGATTGCCGCGCTTGCTGCAGGTGAGATATTTTCGTTGACTTTGGATGTCCAGATATACAACAGTTTCAAGTATCTATTTGAGAGCATGACGTTGTGGAGGCCTTAATGTACACATCTCAAAGGCAATTTCTCAAGATAATTTGATTGAGACATTTGATTATTGAACACCCCCGATCAGCTTGGCCCTACTTTTTCCTGCCATACTAACTGCCTTTCAAAAGAAAATAAAAGAAACCTTGTGGCAATTTCCCAAAATGGGGTATCCACTACCACCCCAATTCGTTCGGCTAAACTTCTTCACCAAAATGTTGAGCTCAGTTCTTCTTCGTCCCAGCCAGCTCAGTTCTTATAATTATTACACTACAATGAACTCCCAAGAAACCTGCTCATTCTTGGCTCATCCCTTTGCAGTCCAATCTTTGACTCGGCATCCAGGCATCCTCCAGCCAGTGGTGGCTAGCCAATGCCATTGTTCTTCCCAAGCTCATTCTTGGCCCTTATTGACAACCTCATGGGCCAATTCCTCCAGCATATTTAGCAGCTCAGTGTCCTTCTCCAACCCCTCCTCTTCACAATCTTTTCGATCTTAATCGTTTCTTACAGCTTTTGGGCTGGCTTCAGGATTTATCATTTTGCAATACTTTGGCTACAAATCTTGTCAGCCAAGTCTTGCTGACTCGAATGCCATTGCCTCCTCCGACAAAGCCACATTGACTGCTCCATCCCCTGCTGAGTGGCAACATTCTTCCGGTTGCATGATGGGAAATTTTCCTACCAGTCCCCATTCCTGCAAATCATCCAATATGATCAATCGCCGCTGATCTGCCAGTCTCAGATTCCTAAGTCCAAAAACCATACTCCATTGATCTGCAGCAACATATGGATGTCCAGCACCTTCTTTGCATGGCCAATGTCATTGTTTTCCCACCATGCTGATCATGCGAGAGAGTCCTTGTTGTCCACGCCAGGCCAGGCTTCCGGTACACCCAATTATATAATGCCAATTAAACCCTGAAATGGATCAATTTGCTTGTCATTTGCTGCCAGTTGAATGCACAACCCATCATGGTTTGATCTCCCACCCCATCAGCCTTCATTGATCCTTGGTGATCATGTCATTTTCGGCATCTCCAGGCCTCGATCAAGCAATTATTTGCGCGCTTCGTTGGAGTGGGTCTTCTGAGGCCATCTCATTCATACCTTTTTCATCCCTTTTTCATCCCCCTTTTTTCCAAACATTTTATCTGCATCTTTAGCAACATACCCTTTTTTTCACACATTTAGGTGCCGATTGTTCCTTGTTGTTTACCTCGAGTGAGCTCCGCACCTCATTCTCAGCTACACTAAACACCTGACCTTGACACCTATATGCCTGCCTGCTGCCTGCCCAATTGCCCCGCATAATGGCGCACACCCCATACTTGACCAAATTAAAAGAAGTGGGGGAGGTTCTCAGTGAATGCCATTGCTCATGAGCTTGAAATCAATTTCATCATGAAATTGAATCATTAATAGCACATGACCTCCTGGATCCCCTAGTGATCCTGCTCATATTCTACCCGCATGTTTCTTTTCAAAGAAGGGCTCATAGGGCAGCTCATGCTGGAGGTTCCCACAAAGATTGTTAAAACCCATATGTTATGTTCTTTTGCAGAACATTGTTGCCTTTGATCGCGAATTTAGAGATTTGTTTAGACTTTGCCAATGAGTAGCCCTTACTTAGCTGAGTAGCCCTTACTTGGCTAAGTAGTGCTAAGTAGCCCTGGCCCGCTCGAGGGGGGGTTCGCAAAAAAGGAAATTGCGCCCCCCCACTCCGCCCAAGCAAAATTGAATTCGACCCCCCCTTTGTAAAGTAATTGTTTAAATCATTTCTTTTAGTCAATGTGCGTTTAAAGTTATTTCTTTTGGAATGTTGTTTAAACATATACTATACGGTGTGGAATAGCGTATTTACGTGGATTTATTAATATTGTTCGGACATTGAGGCCTCCACAGCAATCATGTCTTATCCATTTTGGATGCGCATGACAGCGATGCGCATTATGTTTTGGCGTCAGCACAGCGATGCGCCCACTTTAATGTCCAGCCTGCCGACGGCAGTGGACAACGGGCAATAATGCCAAACAGGGCATTTGAGCAGCCATTCGGAGAACTGCTGCTGCACGAAGCAGCCATGTTCAACCGGACGTGGCTGGGAGAAAAGACCTGTGGCCCGCCAGAGGCTTTGGAGGATGGTTCGATAGAGCTGATGTATCCTCGAAATCCGGAAGATCCTGCCACCAGCAGTCACAAAGGGGTGCTTGACGGAGGGCAGGGGTGCCCATTATCCACTCACTTAGGGACTAAACGCCACCCTTTGTGACTGCTAGCATGTGGCTTTTTGGCCGATTGGATTCATTTGGATGAAGTCTTCCAACCGGACCTTTGCCATCAGGTCAGGTCGAAGCTGGGTGGCGACAGGAGGACTCATGAAGCTTTCTTCGGGCAAAAGGGTAGTGAAGCACCTTCCCCCAAAAAAGAAGACAAACTGACCTGTTTTTGCGGACTTCAATGACCTGTTTCCCCAAACCTCGCCTTTGGTGTGTGTTACAGCGTGGCCTGTCTCAGTCTACGAACTCTGACATGCGGGTGTCGTTGTATCAGACTCTTGGACTTTTGAACCAACCCCAAGTGGAAATAACAAGACTTTGTGCATCTTTGTTTCAAGACTTTGTTTCAATCTATATAGGTTTCAATGCAAAAGGACACCAAGTGGAGAAATTCAAGACTTTGTTTGGGAGCGATTCGGACTCCACCGATCTCCTGCGCAGCTCGGGTCTCCCCCGAGCTGGCGTCCACCGGGTACGCGTCGACGAGCTCCGAGGATCTCATTGACCATCTTCGAACTTCAAGTGGTCACGTCCTTGCTCCTCTTCGCACGCCATCAGGTGCCACCAACCAGTGAAGAGCTTTGTGGAACTGTTGCTGGCTGGGGCTTGCTTGCTTGCTGGCTGAGGTTTGTTTGCAGGTGCCGGGTGGTATGCAGATGTAATACTGTACGTATAGTATATTACTATATATTTATACAGTGGAGAGAGGGAGGGAGGGAGGGAGAGAGAGAGAGAGAGAGAGCAGACCTATGGATGCAACGCTTTGCCACCAGATTCTGCGCACATATATTTTTTAAGATTGGCAAGGTCTACCCCACCATTTCCCACCTATTTTTGTTACCTGATTTCGCCCAAATGATAGATAGTTTCACACGACAGCCACCCGTTTGGGCCCACAGCACCACCGTCCAGGTAGATGTGGCCATCATTGAGGTGGGGATGGGAGGCCTAGAGGATGCCACCAATGTGCTCCTGGAACCCGCAGCTCCTTGGATCAGCGCAGCAAGCAGATTTGGGATATGAGGGATCTTCGGATTTGCTTCGCTCAGGTTCGGGATATCAGAATCTGACATGTAGTCTTCTCAAATGCCTATGGGGTCGGGACCCGACTAGTCTGCAGGTATTTGGAGTCATCTCAGCCCATCAGGCGGATCTCAGCCTATCGGACGCATGGCTGGGTTTCCAAGGCCTGTTGCATCACCAGCATTGCCCTGGACCACGAGAAGTTCTTAGGGCCAACCCATGAGGACATCGCCAAGCACAAGGCACGTACGTTGATGCAAGCAATTTGTTTGTTGAAGCGAGCTTGAGATCATGTAAAAAATATGTGGCAGTTGGGGTGGACATGTGCCACTACTTGCAATATGAATTATGTTACAAGTTACACTGCTCTCCTGGCTTGTTTGGCTGGTTGGCTGCCCTTGCAGGCTGGCATTTTCCAACGCGGGCGCCCTGCCTACGTTGCTAAGGATGGCATGTCAGAGAGCGTGTCATGGTTAAATTCGGTATTGAAGGGGAAAGTATCTAAGATATGTCAGAGAATGAAGATTTGAGATCATTTGAGAGGTTTCGAGTGGTTCGTTCTTCGGGTCCGTTTGGGCCTGGCGTGGCGCAAAGAGTCGGTAGCATCCCGCCTTTGAAGCCGTTGCCCAGTTGACATGTTTTCCACTGTGCTGACTTAGAGATTCGTAGTCACCCATTGGCAATTAGGATGGGTAAGCACTAAAGTAGTTGCAACAATATCAGTGTGTCAGTGTAACCCTACTAAGTTACTATGTGCCAAGCAGGACCCCCTGAGCACTCAAAGTGGTTCGCGAGTACATCGACAAGTGGACGTACGTGTTTGATTGAAAAGCTGAGATCGGCAAGCAGTTGTGCTATTTCAATCGATAAGTCGATAAGTAGTTGGACTTCGTGACCCATGTATCCTAGCCCTCTTCGAGATCCTTCTCAACTCCACTGTGCAGATCATGAAAGACATGCTTGATTTTCCTACACATTTGCGAAGACAAAAGACACTTGGAAGGCTGTCAATCATGCTGAAGCATTTGGTTTTGTTTTCCAGGGCGGCCGGAGTGCATGTGTTAGCATGTTTCTGTTCTCTTGCATCACCATCTTGCCGAACATCTCGTACTTGGCCGAAAAAAGCGCCTCGCCGGCGGGTCCGTTCCGCCCCCCCAGGTCCAGCGAGTCATCGCTGAAGTCGCTGAGCGTGTCGGAGCACTGTCCGGATGCTCGGCGTCCTGGAGGGGTCTCAGACACGACTGCCATAGGACTGCCGCCCCATTGACCCCCCTGGCACCACCTCAATATAGGCATATATATATATAAGTCTATTTGGTCGTAAATGATCCCTATTTCGTTTTAAATGATCCCCAACATTGGCTGCTTGTATGGAGAGCAGCTGCTGAGCATCAAGTGGGGTCACATGAATGGAACGTGGCTAGCCATGGTGATCGGCGAAAGTTTCTGGCATCCTTAAGGGATGATATTTCCAAGGAAACCAAGGAGCAAAGCAGCAATGAGGTCCACTTTTGCTTGCCGAAGCTGCGAGAGTTCCAGGGCAATCAGAAGTTAACATCTGGCTTCAAAAAGAATCCTGAAGTGTCTAGAAAGCGGCCAAACTACAACAACAGCAGGAGGGCTATGTTCGCCAACATGCCTGAAAGAAACAAGCACCTCAGTTAAAGCAAACAACATGCCTGATAATTTTTCTATTTTATGTTCTATTGAGAGTCCAACCATTATCCTTCTCCATTGTTTGCCACTCGAATGCAAGGTATTGTGACAATGGGCGAGATCGAGCGCGAATAGAAACTCTTTTTTCTCGAGAACAATGCATGTGTCATAGAAAGCATTGCTTCAAGAAAATGATGCCCAAGCAGGAAGACCTAACCTCATTTTTGGATGGCTTCTGGGAATTGAACAAGCTTTCGCAAGATGCATTTGTGGTTGACTTAGTTGTTATGGATATTGAGCTGACAAACAGTTTTGCAAGGCTGATTGATTTAAATGTCTCACTCGACTAAGATTTCCTTTGTCATGGCTGGAACTGCGATTGGGAATCGGCACTGGAAATTATTGGGCAAGAGTATGTCTCGACATTGTGTTGCGGCTCTGATGGGTGTGAGACCGCAACGTTTTCGATCTGCCTCCTCTGGGAGCTTTGATCGCCGATATGCCTGCTTTGGAGCTGCAACTTGGCCTCCAAGCGAACATTGATGGTTGCTTGGCAAAACACTGCAATGTGTGGGGTGCACATGAGGTCAAGAAGAGGACACCTCTTAAGAATATGAAGCTCGACCAATTCTTCTTGAAGGTGTACATTGGGCAGGGTGGAATGTTGCCCACAAGGTCACTTGGTGAAGATTCTCCAGTGGGTCCAGGAAGACAAGATCTGTTCGATTCTCAGGTTCCAGCGAGCTGCCCGACTCCGAGAGTCCATGAAGAGAAGCTCATCCAGCTCACAGCCAGTCCAAGTGAAATTTGGCAGCCGGGGGCATGTTGAGGAGGATGGAGCCTTTTCTCATTACGAAGCGCAAATCATGAGTTCATGTTTTGTCAAGGGTTTCCCCTGGTAAGGAAAATCCGAAGGATCTGCTCCCAGTGAGTCTGATGAAGAACGCTTACCTATGGAGAGCATTGAGTCTGATTTGGATCTGAAATTGCACATAATGGGGAGCAAAATGCTGTGGACAGAGACATATCCTTAGTTCGTGGATGTGAAACACGAGGTCGATTGAACTACCTCTGTGCTTCCTGTCTTCCTTGTGAGGTTGGTGGATACCAACAATTCTTCGGATCCTTCAGGCTTGCCCACCAGATACTTACCACCAGGGAACATTCGAATGCTCCACTCACAGGTGCCATTCAAGGTGTCGCTTTTTGGTTGCACCTAGAATGGACAACTTGCAATAGACAAGGCCCTTGAGTCAAGTTGCTCTTGTCTGAGGTATGGTCACTTCGCCGCCAGATACAATGCTAAATGGAAGGGGGTCCTTCGATTCTGTAGCCCCACAAATTTTCCGACATGTGATGATTGCCAAGCTTACAAGGAGGCCTTCCATGATGCCCATGATACTTGTCAATTAATCTCTCAAGTGACATTCAATTACATTCAACACAGGACCTTTCAATTGCGATGATGCATTCAGGATGCCCTTGACAAGTATGAGGTGGCCAAACAATACAAAAGCCACATCAGTGCAGTGTCGGAGGATAGGCACCTGGAGAATTGGTTCCAGGCTGCGAGATGGAAGAAAGTTTCTGAAATCAATGCGGTTTGCCTTCAAGTGAAATGGCAGGATTCATCATCATTGGAGGATGAAAGCGCTTGCCTGTTCGTTCATTGTGCTTCTTGTTTGCAAACAGCGTGAGCCAGTTGTGATTCCTCAGTGATGCTCGTAAAATTGTTAGGTTGGCATTCGTCTAAGGACGGAATGGATCAGGCCAAGTGGTGCATCCCCCGTGTGCGTGGGGGATGCGCCACAAAGAGCATGGCCAAGTTTGAGCGTCCCAAATGTAAAATTCAAGGCATTTGGTTTCACAAAGCCATCCTTACCCTGCACATCATAGATGTTCGTCAAAGCCAAGATGCCTCCACAGTGGTGGAATGTCTCTGCCAAGATTTGGAGAAGATCTCAACCATTTGCAGGAGTCTTGGCAAACCTTTCCCAAAAAGACTGCTCTTGTGGGTCGACAACACAGTGAAAGAATGCAAGAATAACACCTTCATGAAGTTCCTATCCTGGATGCTTCTGCAGAAGGGTATGGAGATGACTGGTGTTTGCATGGCTCGAGTGGGACACACTCATTGCGCAATAGGTTTCTTGGATGACATCAATGTATAGACTTGTTTGTGTGAGATGCACCGGAAGCCCTTGTTGAAAGCCAAGACCAACTATATGGTGTGATCTCAAGAGCGACGCGTTTCATCGACGTCATGGCCGATGACATGGATATCCAGGAGTCCCTTTGATAAAGAAACACATTCCAAGTTGAAAAATTGTTCCAGCAAGTTGCTCCAGCAAATTCCACTAAGGAAGCTTCGAGATATCCTTGCAAGGCTGGATCTGAAGAAGTGGCGTGGAGCTGCCAGGGTGGATGTGGACATCGTGCGGAGCGTGCGTCCTTGGAAACAATGGTTTCTTGTTTGCATTGATTCAGATACTAACTGTTGAATGTTTTTGATGTCAATGACTCGACTCTCAATCGTTAGGCTTGAAGGTGCTCCAGTAACGGTGTCTGGGGGATTGCGGGATGATTGTACTGGAGCTCACTCATTCATCTTCGTCCGTCGAAGAGGCCAGACTCATGCAAGCCAATGAACTGTTTGCCACCTAGAAATGTCCACATGTCCAATGAATTGTTTACTTTTGCCAGATGTACCAGCTGGAATCCAGATATCTTCAGAAGGTCCAGGTCGAAATGATTGGCCTGAGAGCCCAAGCGACGTGGTGTGTTTGGTCAAAAGATTTGCCAGTGACCAATCGTTGAGTCAGGCCTGACTGTGTGTTTGTTCATGTTTTGTTGAAGAGCTGCCAGTGAGCCTCTTTGAACAAATAGCTCTTGCAGGACCCCTTGCTGATGTTTCCAGCCAGCTTCATGAATATACTTGGGCCAATTCCAAATCGCCCAAGACCCTTGCGTGTATTCGATGCTGAGCGCAGGAAGAAACTACTGAGCTTGGCGCACTTTTTACTGAACAACAACCCTGTGGAGTCAACAGAAAGGACAGTGAAATTTCTCTTGACTTTGGCTCAGGCAGATCAGCACTCAGAGGAAGTGCCTCATTTGCCTTGGCTGTCTACAGTGCATCGTTCCGATTTCGATCTGTTGAGTGATTGGGACCCCAATCAGTGCAAGGCAGTGCGACAGCTGTTACCTCAAATGAGGTTCGCAGCAAGACTTGCTAGGAGGCGCTGAAAGGCGAAAGGTTGTGCTAATTTGTCTTTAGAACAGTTCTTTTGGAAATTGGTTGAACAATGGTTGCAGCTTTTGGTCACTGAAATGTAGGGAGGCTTGGCTCTAGTCTGGTCGAAACTCAGCGACCATGAATCAGCGGGCAAGGGGGACTCCGCAGCGCAGGACCTTGCAGATTTGTTGTGTGTGTGTTGCAGGGTGCGCTTAAGCTAGTAACACTGGGAGGACATCAGTTCTGAAGAGAAAGGGCGCAATACTCTCAGGTGTGTTTGGTAGTCACCGTGTCCATTGAAGTATATTTTTGAGGCCTTCCTCCATTTGGATGTGGTATGGCCACACGATGCTCAGGCTATTCATGATGCAAAGCAACACAAAGATCCTGTCATATGAGTTTGCTTCTCCAGGCGCCTGCAGATTGGTCTGACGATGACCATGTACACTATGTTGCGGACAGCTATGACGAGCAGGACTAGGGCACGTTAGTGTAGAACCATTTTACTGTACATTGTATTCCAGAAATCACTCCAGGAACGCCAGGAATGGAAACGAGCTCGATCTGATGAGCAGGACATCTTTTTTTCTAGCATGGCCATATGATTATTTTCCATATGCCAGGATTATTGGCAAGACACTTTTGTCGAGAAGTCCCCCAACCCAACAGAGGACGAGGAAGCTACCCATGCCTGTTTATGGATTATGTACCCCAAAGCCTTTGTTGACAAACTGTATTTTGCCAGGACACTGGTAAGGGAAATTGTGGGTCAACTGATGATCGCTCTTGGAACGAGGTGTGCCAAAACAATGTGAACAAATGGTGACTGCTGATTGCGGAGTCAGGCAAAGGATTCAGACACACCACCGACATCGTCTGCAAGAGCTCCTAACATGAGAAAGGCACATTCGCACCAGTGCATCAATCAATCAAATGTTGAATCCTTTGTTGTTCGCTAGGGTGAGAAAGATGAGAAAGCTCCGAAATCCAAGAAAGATATTGAGTTCGTGGAGGCTGGAATTGATGTTGAAAATTAGTCAGCTTCCTCACAACATAACTCCTGCGCAGGCAGAACTACGTCATCTCACCGCGCAGATCATGATTCAGGAGATCGAGTCCATGGTCAGCCTGAAGCACATTCCACCAGTGGAAAGGTGCTACAAAATGGCAGCTATTTTACTTAAAGGCCTTGCAGAGCTAGAGCCACCAAAGCACTAAATTCAAAAAAGTTCGATGTTTCTGCGAACTACAACTTGAAAAAAGTCTTTGCCCGAGGGATTCAAAGCAATGTCAAGCAGTCTTGCTATGGCC